ACTACCTCCCGCCCGATCTCGCCAACGAGCTCTCCTCCGACGCCGAAGGCACCGTCCGTCTCCTCAAGCGCGCCGTAACCAAAGACGACCCGGAACTCTTCAAGCAAGAACTCGCCAAGTTCAACAAGCTCATCAAAGACCAATACGCCAACGGCACGATACCCCGCATCCTCGACGACATGCACGCCATCCCCCTCAGCCTCGTCAAACGCATCACCGCCCAAAGCTATAACCGCATCGTCTCCCCGCATGCCCACCGCCTCCGCAAAGTCGAAGGCAAAGAAACAACCTACGGCGAACTCTTGACTCCCTTCGTCCACAAAATCTTCGCCCAAACCGGCCTAAACTCCACCCACACCTTTGTCGACCTCGGCTCCGGCGTCGGCAACGTCGTCCTGCAGTCCGCCCTCCAAACCGGCGCCGAAAGCTGGGGCATCGAAAAGATGAAGCTCGCCGCCTCCCTCGGCACAGAACAAGCCTCTGAACTCAAAGCGCGGGCGAAGCTGTGGAACATAGCCCTCCCCCGCATCGAGCTCATCGAAGGCGATTTCCTCGAAAGCCCTGAGATTGACGCTGTTCTCCGCCGTGCTGACGTTGTGCTGGTCAACAACAAGGTGTTTGGCGAGACGCTGAATAATCTGCTGTTGCAGAAGTTTCTCGATTTGAAACAGGGCTGTAAAGTCGTTAGTTTGGAGAGTTTTGGCGGGGGCGCTAAGCAGGGGGTAAGGAATGAACAGAGTATTGCTGGGCTTTTTGATGAGGAGAGGTTTGAGAGTGGGACGAATAGCGTTAGTTGGGCGGGGGAGAGCGTCGAGTATTTTATTGCTACAAAGGCGCGTTGAGGCAGGCGGGCTGGGATTCGATTGGAGATGGTTGGTGAGTTTGTATCATATATAAGGTGATTGGAGGATATGGTCTTTGGACATGTTATCCTGGATCTCTAGCGTAGAGCTGGACGGACGGGAGAAAACGTAGGATGGGGCGATTGAGCATGGCACACTTGGCGTTTGATTTAACATCAATACCCCTCGATATCTTCTCTTTCTGTAGCTATTCCAGATCAGAATCTATAAACATATGCATTCCAGCACTTCCGATTCGGACATCTCACGCCGTGGACACTCTGCTATACCTGTCAAATATGCCGCTTCATGTACGTTGCATCACTCCCAGCATCCACACCAATCATATCTTCCTAGAAACTGTATCGTCGTATTATATATACCGAAGGATAGTAAAGAGCAATAATCCGCTCCGTGTATGTACACCAAGATATTACCCAGTCGCCCATCCCACCGAACACCAACACCGTATATGCACATTCAACCTCCCTTTCCACTACAAACTCGAACTCAAACCCATCCACCGTATATATAAATCGTAAAGGAGCGTGTATCGGGTATCTGAAAAAACCAATGCCAACGAAAAAGGAGCGACGTCGCTAATGTACAAATAAAGTAGTAAAAAAGCCTGAAAATGCAAAGCAGTCGTGTTTCTCGTTATATATACCCTCTTTTCCATCTTCATCTTCTTTTCCTGTCTCCATCCTAATCCTCATGCTGATAAGAAGGAAAAAGGCCATACGACTTGCTCACTTGACTTAATCTAAAAGAACAAAGCCATAGCGCCCAAGCCCACAGCGCCAGCAAACGGCACGCCATTCACGCCCGCAGCACCCGTCTGCACACTGGGCTGCTCTGTCGAATCCCCACCATCACCTCCACTCGCCTGCGTCGCCTGAATGGGGTCCACAAACGTATAACTCGTCATCGTGCTCGGCCTCCCCTCCGCATCCGTCGTCGTAATCAACTTGATGCTGCTAACGAGCCCACCACCAGGCGTATACGTAGTCAAAAACGTGCTTCCCGCCTCATCCGTCGCAGTCTGTACCTCACCGGCGGTAGGCGCGTAGTCAGCCGCAGACGTGGTAACCGTTGTGCGGCCTGCGGAATCGGTGGTTGTGCGGATTACGGCGGGGCGGTTCTCGGTTTGGGTGACGGTGCTGCCTTGGGAGTTTGTGCGGACGAGGGTTACGGGGACGGAGGCGGTTACTTCGGAGAGGACGCGCGTGGTGCGGACGACGGTTGTGCCGTCTTCGGTTATGGTGGCTTCGACGGGGATGATGGCGGGGCGTTGGGTGGTGGTTTGGCGGACGGTGGTGGTGGCTTGTTGGGTTGTGGTTTGTTGTTGCGTGTTGGTGACGGTGGAGGGGGGTGCGTCGTCCGAAGGTTGCTGCGATTGTTGGGGCTGCTCGGTTTGTTGAGTTTGTTGAGTTTGTTGAGTCTGCTGCTGTGTTTGGGTCTGTACTTGGGTGACGGTGGTGCCTTGTTGCGTCTGGACCTGCGTTACGGTGGTCTCGACTGCTGGTGGAGGGGCTTCGCTCGCCTGTGATGAAGGCGCGTCTTCGGTTGTCTGTTGTGGGGTTGAAGCTTCAGTGGCGGAAGCCGTGCCATTGCCCGGCGCCTGCCTCTTCTTCAGGTCGTTGACAGCGTCGACAATGAGCTTTGTAGCGAGCGCTGGGTTGTTCTCGTGGACATGTTCGACGCCGCGGTGGTGCGACTCGAAGACACCATTCTTGAAGTCCTTCAGTCCGCTTAGTGCTGCTTGTAGAGATTCCTCTGGCAGCGCGTTCAACAAGTCCTGGAAGGCTTCCTGTGCAGTCGCATAGATGGTCTTTGGGTGGTCGTCTCGCTTGTTTGGCGAAGCAGCAACGGCAGTGCTGAACAATGGCAGGGCCAAAACGGCCAGCTGGCAGAAGGAACGCATCGTGGTGGAATCGGCGTGCGGAACGAAAGCGAAGGTGGATTCTCAGCGAAGAAGAACAGAAACTGCGACAAGCGTGTTAGCAGGTCGTCATGACTGGAATCAAGGCCGTAAATTGTGTACAAGAAAAGAAGTCAAAAGCGCAATGGGCTGATGTGATTGCGAAGACGTCGCGGACTGGAGAGCAGGCTTACACAGAATCTGTCGCTTCCGAGTGGCTGGGTTGCAGGTGTCTGACGCCACAGCCCGAGAATCGATAGCCTGTAGACTTCTAATGTTCAACGTTCCCGTTTCTTTTTGCCGACGAGGAAAAGAAAGCGAGCGTAATTATTCGTTTGGTCGTTCGGGGTGATCTCAACAACGAGTGTGGTCTTCCCAAGAGTCAGTCGAAACAAGCGGAGTCGTAGACCGTAAAGTCGGTAAAAAGGCGTTGGAAGCGTGTGATAGTGATGAGGAGAAACGGCAGATCAGTCCTTAAGGCAGAAGGCGATACGGTTACTGTACGAGTTGAGCACCAAGCATCTTTGGGTAAGGCGTTGCTGATACAGGTGCGCTAGGTGCGTCTTACTTGACAGAAACACGAGGTTTGGACCCGCTGTTTGTCATGGATCCCATCGTCACTTTCGCCTCTTGACCACGCCCTAAACAAGCCAAGCTTCAGCATCCCGATTTTCCGCTGAAGATCATGCTCCAGTGCTCTCCACTGAACTGACAGCTGGAACTATTGGAGTGCATCTAGTTCTAGTAAATGTTCGCGCACACCGAGTTCCAAACTTCTTCACACCAGCCCTTCCTATCGCAACGCAACCGATCAGATTTCAGACGATTGTGCCATTGAAACCTCGGCCTTGAAACACGAACCAAAAAAAGTTGGCGCGTAAACCTCGGGGTCGGTATATGCAACACCCCCTGCAACTGCAGAAACGGTAGGAGCCTGGAGCCTTTTCCGCACCAGTACCAGCGACCTCCAGGGCTCGCTTGTTGGAAGCCAGAACGCCAGAACGTCATGCATGGACCGAGCCACCGGGGGACGGCGGACAAGCTATAATCGGGGTGGACGTCCCAATTCGCTCGCCGGAGTCGCTCTGTTCGCATGTTGAAACCGTGCTGAGGCTTCCACGGAGCACTCGACGTGTTGGTAGTCGCTGCCATGTGTGCATTGCGATGGCATCGTCATCGCAATCTTCCAACTACCAATTCTTGGTCCAGAAGTATTACCTGTGGCATTGAGATTTGCTTTTCCCAACCATCATCATCTCCTCGTGTTCAAAGCAGACGAGACAATTTGTTCTCGCTTTTCTCTCGTATCTCACACACCTTTACCTTTGCTATCCACTCCACTATCCACTAACAAACGCGTATCTCACACATCTGCAACTCCGCTCCGCTGCCAGCAGGCGTGATCTATTTTTACTCAGAGACAGGGCATGATTGGGACGCAGGACGGGGCTAGCGCCGAACTTGAGAGAAGACTGATGACTGCTGCGCATTGCAATTCGAGACTAGTAGATCAGCAACATCAAAACGCGCACTGCAAGACTCGATTTGCAGTGGCCTAGATGCATCTCACTGGTGGGGATACTGGATATGCAACGACGCAGACGCACCATCTAGACATTTCGGCATATCGCGCTATAAGTCTATGTTCATGTCGCCACGACGCTATAGCTATTTGTGCTTATGTTGAGGGATTGATGCGGACTTCGGCAGCGACGGCAGCGCGGTCGTTGGACGGCGTCAATACTCAACATGTAACGTTGCTTTTTCTACTGTACTAATCAACGTGTGGGGTATTTTGCAATACACCTACTGTGCTCTTCAGCTGATGTGTACATGTACGGTTTCATTGATCAATTTCGAATAATCTCGACATTGATCAGAATTGCTGTTCCCTCGTTTTACGACATTTCAAATGCTTTGAAGCTTTGGCACAAGTACACAGTGAATCATGAAGAATGAGAATGAATTATCATTGATATGTGCCACAACGCTATGCATCATCGCAACGCTCAGAGAATGCTCGCTAGCACGCTTCATCGTTTCATGGCAAATATGCCGTATGCAAAATCTCCCATGCCACCTACACACTTTTTTCTTCGCCCATAACGGACTGTCAAGGGTGCTGTGCACATTTCTACCCATCAAGCTCAATCTATGAACACCCTGAATCCCTCCATATCCTTCCGAACCCATGCCTTCGTACGTCATTGAGGTCGACAGCGGTGGTCGCGGTCTCTCTAAGGCGCTGGCTCGCCTCTTGGGACGAACGAAGGTGACGACTGACCATCAGATGACGGTGCATCAGAGTTTGTCTCCCGGTTCACCGTCTGAGGCGTGACAGTAGTAGTCGAGTTGGAGGAAGAGTGAAGAGGCCCCGAAGGTGTTGACACTGGCTGAACAGGTTCCGAGGTAGTTGCTGAGGCCCCGGGCTGGGTCGCTGCGCCAGCTTCTACCTGCTGCGTACTGTCGACATTTAAAGGTGATGGTGCTTTGGCGAATGGCTGCACAGGAGGCGTTGTAGTGACTGGTGACTTGGAGTTCCTGTCCGGAGATCGCGCAACTGATCGGGGTTCAGTCAGTGCAGCTGGGAGATCTGTCCGCAGAGCCATGGCAGGACTCATCCTGGGCTTCGGGCTTCCCGGCGTAGGTACGTTCGGGGGTGTTGGACTCATCCCGGTAGGCGTGACGTCGCTGGATTTGTCTGCTTTAGGTTGGGGCTCTTCCACTGGTGGTGGCACATCCGGTGCTCGTCCACGAACGGCGAAGGATTCTTGTGGATTCATCATGTTCTGTGGAGAAGGGAGATGACTCGAGCTGCCCGGTGGGCTCTTGGCTCTTTCTCTCCTATCTAAACGTTCTTTGTGATCCTGTCTGCGCTTGTGGAACCAGTCGAATGCACCTTTCTTGTCGGATTTGTCGTGATCAGGGGGACTGCTGCCGAATAGCATCGACGTTTCCGAGCCGTGATTCGACTCGTACTGCCCACTTCGGCGCCCTCCTCCTGTCCATCCAGAACTGCTGGCGAACGAGCTCATACTCTTATCGGCGCCAGGTACTGAACCGTGGAGATCTGTCTGACTTGCTGTCGGCGTTGCCTTACTTTCTCCTCGCCTGTGGCCTTTCCAAAAACTGCGCTTCTCCTCTCTTGGTTGTTCTTCCAGTTGCTCGTTCTCCGAGTATTCTGTTGCTGTTGAATGAGATCTGAAACTAGCAGAAGGCGACATGCTAGGTTTGAGTGTGTTCCCGGAGGCCCGCGAGGAGCCTGTGTCTTGCAAAACCTCTCTAGAGCTGTTTGCGTGCGACTGACCATGGGCAAAGGGAAGCGAGGGTGGCTGCAGTGGCGAAGGAGGTCCGTGAGAAAATTGACCACCAAACCCTGAATCGCTACCACCAAGAGAGTGCGTGGAGCTATGCGTACTCTGGCTGATACTGTTCGGCAATCTCTTCTTCTGCAGCTTGTTCGGTTTCCGTCCGTCTTTCGCTTCCTTGGAATCGTTCGGAGGGGATGCCGCAACCTTGGCTAGAATTTGTGTAAATGTACGAACAGCAGGAGTCATCTCAATTGACGGACCTGAGTCAACAGGCCCTTCCAAGAACTCTGACCGCTCACGCGTTGGCGTGTGATGAGGACTACGCTGAGGACTACGTGGTCCTGGAGTAGTGGACCTTGGAGGTAACAGGTTCTGGGCCGACTGGGCGACGACGTTCGGAGTAGTGGGCTGACTCGGTGGGATGACGCCCGGAGACGGCAGAGGGAACCCGCCTGGCATGTTGTGGGTGGCAGGTGTAACCGCCGGTCTATTTTGTGAAGGCTCTGCCGGTTGCATAGCCATTCCGTGTTGGGGGAAAGGTTGGTATGGGACCGGCATCTCGATCTTGTTCGGTGGCATGGTCTGCGCACGTTGTGGCGGTGGCAGTTCCTGATCGGCAGGCTGTGTGGCTGGTATTTGCTCCGCTGCGGGTGCGACCGCCTGTGGGGCTTCCTTCGTTCGTATAGGTAACTCCATCTCCTGCTGTGGGGCAACATTCTCAGGAACATCAGCAACATCTGGAGGCATGGGAGACGAGAGAGGGCTCTTAGTCTCTTCAGGGCCGATTTGCTTTGCAGCAGGGAAGCGGGGACTCCCAAGCCCCGGGGAGCGCTTTGAGGGCAGCGTGTTGCTTCGATGCACTCCAGATGTCGTGGTCGAAACAAATGATGGTGCGATTGGGCTGGGAACAGCGGGCGAGTGTCGTGAACGCTTCGAAGACGTGGATACATTCCTGCGGACGCCGCCATACATGCGAAGGCTTTCTGCACCAGCGCTCGAAGTGGTCGAAGCCGATCGCCCAATGCCAGAACTATTACGGGGTGTGGTGGGTGTCCTTGCCTGTGGGGTAGAAGGCCCGCTTTCAATGTGCTTAACGGTACCTTCATCGACAGCTGTGCCTTCCATGCCAATTAAGAAGTGATCCTGGTTGTCGATGAGAAAGATGAGCACGTCCTGGCTCAGACGATAATCTTGTGGAGACATATCGTGCTGCGGATGTGAGAGCAGTCCGGGTTGGAAGATGGCAGCCAGATTGGAGGTTGTCATCTTGTTCACATCAGCCTTGGCGGCAAAGACTGCAAGCAAGTCTAGGATGTACAGCAGCAATTGTCGGTTCAAAGACGGCAACGCCTTAATCTGATGTTGATATATGCGCACAGCCGCATCGGGATCGAAGCCTCCGACCGAGGGCTGCTGTCCTTCACTGGCGCCTACTGCCTCAGCCTGATGGCCTTTGAGCGGATTCCGGAACGGGTCATAATGTTGCAGCGGTATTATAGGCTCCGGGAGATTGTTGAAGTAGCGGCGCAGAATATTGGCGGCGTCATGTACAGTATAGCCGGACCAATCCAGACCTTTTCCATAGCGGGGTGGGGTGTCAAAGGCCGTCCGGAGTTCCTTGATGCGCTTCTCGGAGCCTGCTAATCGGAAGATGCCTTCTACGTCGGTTGCTGTGCGCTGTTAACAGCTGATGGGTGATGGGATTAGCTTCACTGACCCTTTTCCTTCAGAAAGACACCGCATTTGGCGACGACTATTGGGACGTAACCATAGATGTAGCTTTCGCCGTGCTCGTTGAATAGCGAAATAGCGACGTTGGCATAGGGTATGCTTTGTATGAGGGGTACACCAAAGATGCCAGGGAGGGCGGGTTCTACGTGCGGCCACAACAGTCAGTGATTGTTCGCGACAAGAAGAGGCGGGGAGCTGCAGGCACAGTCGCAGCGCATTGCTGGGCTTCAGCCGCCAACGAGGCTGAACTCGCGGACTCGACATGTGAAAATGCTGGCAGTGTTGTCGTACCTTTCTCGTCCTCCTTTTTCGCGGGGCGCTTGCTGAACTGCCTCCACCACGATGTCAAGTCTCGACGCGACGAAGCAGGTTCTGGTGTCGCTAACGGGGCGGGCTGGGGCTCGCCATTGCGCACGCGCGGCGTATTGGGGTTGGTGTGGGTGCCTGCGGGAGCCATGGCAGGCGGTGGTGTGGAGAGCGTCGCAGCTCCAAGGGTGTAATATGGCGGTCGTTGAGCGCAGCGTCTGTCGTGGTGTCCAGGTACAGGTGGGCCCGAAGTAGGCAGGCGGCAGCTGTCTGGGGGCCGCTATGTGACGTCGGAGGGTAGCGAGTCGAGGAAGCGAGGTAGCGAGCGTGCGCAAGATGTCAGCGGGGTCGTGACGGCGTTCCTGTAGGCAGATCCCGCAATATTGACGTCTTCCTTGGTGGAGAGCAGAGCGAGAGAGCTGTTGGCGCGAGACTGGGTCTAGGACGCGACGGGCGGTTAGGGGTACAGGTACAGCTGCAGGATGTCGTCGGAGGGTTCAGCGGCCTGGTCGGGCGCAATATCGAGGCGCGCCTGAAACTGTGGCTCGAGGCGACTTGGGCCTGCAGGGTCGGCGTCTGGAGAGGGCAATGATCGCAGTCGGGGCGAGGCAGTCGAGTGGCAGCCCGCTGCTCGACTGACCAAGAGCAGCAGGTTAGCGGCCGTGATGTGTGGCTGCGGGCCAATTGTGAGCATCCAAGGAAGACGGCACGGCGTCGCCTGACTGACAGACACAAACGCGAGGCTTGATGCCCCTCGACGGCAAAATACAGCGGCGATCAATACGGGTAGCGGATGCAGCTGGTATTAAGAGGCGATGTTATTGTGTTATTATTGTGCTATGCTGGAGTCGGTTCCAATAATAACGACCGTCTTGGCGGGAAAGGTACAGGTCAGGTACTGGTACGGCCATGCAGCGGGAGCCACACAATATTGGTGCGACGGGACATGAGAGACGACGCATCCATTGCCACATTCTGTCCCAAGTGCCTTCCCAGATCTGTCCCAGAATTGACCCGCTGAATGCGGCTGCCATGAAGTCTCCACGTCTGCTTCCCGTGGTTCGGTGACTGGAGAGCGTGGACGGGCCGCCCGGTGGCCTAGCTCGCGTCTACACTTTTGGGTGCAGGCTCGTCAGCACAGCATCCAGACAACCACCCGACGTCATACCAAATTTCCGCGTCGAGCCACCCTTCCGTAAACAATAATCCTGCCACCACACACGACCAGGCATCATGGAGTCGTATGTACTTGCCCCAATTGGTATCACAATAACTAATCGCATGTAGACTCACAGCATCTGAGCAGCGCGAGCTGCAGTCGCGCATGGAGAAGAAGCAGATGAAGGAATTCATGAACGTACGCCATCCAGATTCTATGCTGCACGATAACAATACTGACCAATCCAGATGTACTCCAACCTCGTCCAGCAATGCTTCGACCACTGCGTCAACGGCTTCGAGAGCAAGTCGCTCACCTCGCGCGAAGAGAGCTGCGTTATGCGATGCGTCGACAAGCACATGAAGGGCTCCCAGCGATTAGGCGACCGCTTCCAGGAACAAAACGCCGCCATGGCACAACAAGGCGGCATGGGCGGAAGATAAAATTCTGCGAGATGAGCGTACGTCGTCAGCTTTGAGCCGGTAGCAGGCTCAGCGGCGGCGGTGGCTATTTCATGTTATTTGGATCACGACATCTGTACAATAGAAATCATTTCTGGAATCTGGCTGGGAGCGGGCTATGATCTATGGCCTTGGTCAAGCAAGCTACAACCTTGCACGCAAAATTCAATAAGCGCTCAGTTGCCGCTGTCACATGTCTCCGCTTAATGCCTATCTGGGACGAAATGTGCGGTGAATGTGTTTGCAGATGGCTAGCCGGTTTGTACGCGTGCAAATCGAGTCGCAGCTGACAAGCTAAAGGCGCCCGAATTCCAATGCTAGCTGTTCACAGCCGCGAACGTCGTCATGAGAGTGCCACGAAACACCAGTTCGGCCCTTCTAAGATACGGTGTTGTGGCGCACCACTTTGAGTGCACTATGGGCAATCTTCAAGAAATCTAGACGCGGCCAATCAAGCGCGCACAGGTCTACGAAGACATCGAGGCTGTACTGTGTGCGCTCGCTGCAATCTCCACGATGATCGCCTTTAGCGGTGGCTGTGCTGCATCTCCCAAGCCCTTGGCTGCCAGCCTATGACGCAGCAGCTACCGCTTCACCGACCCTGTTCTTGCCCTGAATCTCCCTCCAGCCTCCCACACACCTCCTATATAACACACGCGCTGCGATCACCTTCCAGCTACACCACAACAAGAACTCTCCACAAACAGAGCGATTCGCCAACTTCCAAACCTAAACTTGTACCTTTACCAACCAACAAACAAGCAACCATGGGTCTCATGTGGCATAAGGGCTTTGGCGGCAAGCACGCCGGTAAGTGGCCCGCTTTGGAGCCGTCTGTTCCGGACACAGGCACCAGTTGCTGACAAGATACCAGGTGGTGGTGTTGTCGCTGACCGTCACGGCGTCCGCCGCGCTCCCTTCCGCTTCTCTTGCGGACGCTTCAGCTGCTTCCGCTAAGCTAGTCGCCGACCCTTGACGACGATTCACGACCTGTAAGCTTTTTGCACGACATTCTGCGATGTCTAGTCCTGACTTTGCTAGCTTTCATATCCCACATTTCGATGATTTCCTCTTGCGACGGCGTTGGTGCGATTGAATACGCATGGCGGCGCGTAATTCAAGGAGAAGTTAGGCGATACCATGGGCATACATCTGCGACGCAGTTTCATGCTTCACAATACCCTCAGTAGCCTAATACAACATGTCTATTCTTCACTGCACTTCCACACTCGTCGCACGCAATCATTCGTCCTCCAGGGCTGTGTACACAACAAACAAGACAATCTGGAACATGACGTCAGAGCCCACATCCTTGTCGCAGCTCCACATCCCAAATCCATCACGCGCCACAATGTCAAACCTCATGGCGGGGCAACGGCGCAGGCACACAGCTACAAGCAAAGCCAATGGGTGAATATCAGAACGGTACCAACCCACGATATAGCAAGATGCGGTCCATCCTCATCATCAACCCAAACTCCACGGAGCAAATGACCAACGGCCTGAAGCCGCTCGTCGACGCCCTGCAGTTCAAAGACGTTACTCAGCACCACTCACCACACCCACCCAACAACTAACCACAGCTAGCAGACAGCTCACGAGTACTTCACCGCGCCCTCCGGCCCCAAAAGCATCAATAACGAAGACGATGCTGCGGAATCAGTCAAGCACTGCCTCCCCGCTCTCCGCGAACAACTCGCCCGCCACGATGCCTTCCTCGTCGCTTGCTACAGCCAACACCCGCTCGTTCCTCTCCTCAAAGTAGAGCCCGCCATAAGAGATACGAGGAAACCTGTTACGGGTATCTTCGAAGCTAGTGTTGGTGCTTCTCTGCAAGCTATCCACCCCGACGAGAAATTCGGCATAGTAAGCACGGGTAAAGTCTGGGAGACTATCCTCACGGATGCTACAATCGCCTTTTTGGGCACGGGCTCAGATGCGGGGAAACGGTTTGCTGGGGTGGAAACAACGGGGCTCAATGCGACGGATCTGCATGATGCGCCGGCGGAGGAGGTGAGGAAGAGGATGAAGGACGCTGTTAAGAGGTTGTTGGGTAAGGGGAAAGTGGGTGCGATTTGTCTGGGTTGCGCGGGTATGGCGGGGATGGATGAGATGGTTCGTGAGGCTTGTGTTGAGGAATTGGGGGAGGAAGAGGGGAAAAGGGTGAGGGTTGTGGATGGGGTTATGGCGGGGGTTGCGTGGTTGGATGGGGCTGTTAGGGCGGGATTCTAGGATGGGATTATGTACAAATAGTCAATATCTGTTTGTGAAGACTTTGGATATGCGCTACAAATTTGTAGAAGCTCTATCAAGCGGCAACGGTTGGGTGCGATCTCCAGTGCGGGTGCTGACCAAAGACGGGATGACGTTGGGTGGGTGGGGGAGGCGGAGGGGAGGTGGTGGAGGTCTCATCCTTTTTCTCTGTCTCGCGCGCGCTATCCTGAGGAGTCCCTTTCGCGAGGGCGACCATGATTGTGTATATTGGGGATGGATATTCGGTAACGGTGGTTTCTCATCCCTCTACTTGAGTGTGATGTCATTAGGAAGACTGTAGACCTGAAAGATGGATGAGTATAAAGAAGCGGAAGTCGTATTCAGACAGCATATCCTTATCTGTAGAGACCTGGATTGCTCGATATCAAGTTGTACTGTTGTGGACTCTGTTCGAATACGGTGTTAAACCTTGTTTGCGCCTTTCTGAGAGACGCCTGGTAAGCGGAGGTCACCCTTTCGAGGCTGGACTTTTTTCGGATTTGAGATGACGATGTAAATTTGAGAACACACGATCGTCGTGTTGTAGAAGCGGCCGCGAATAGTCGCGATACCTAGGTAGCCGTTGCTGGGTGCTAATCATAGGCGGGATGACGTACCCGGAGGCCCACAAGTTCGGACCTTTGATCGTTCCACCGATCCTACCTCAACTCTATGCTTCACGCTTCACTCAAGTCTCGCCAACCACAAACCTCGCGGTCGCCATTTATACAAATAGCTATTCATACACTATCATGCAGTCGCTGCCAAACGAGTTGTTGGCTCAAATCGCGTTGCATCTCGCAGACCAAGCCCCATCGATCACCAAATTCCACCACGAGCCGTCTTCGCAATTAACGGACTCTGATTCTAAACCCCTGAAGACCATCTCCCTAGTGTCAAGGAGGTGGAGAAAGGTTGTGCTTCCAATTCTCTTCCGATACGCCCGTATAGCACTGGACAAGGAAGCACTATGGGTACCAATGGATGCGCGACTCGTTGATAGCATGCAGGGAGAGCTATCCAAGTTGAGTAACCACGAGTTCATGATCTACACAAAACTTCGCAGCAAATTCAAGAGTACCTCTGGATCTGCTTTTAAGCCGGCTATGGACGACGTGCTCATCCAATTATGCCGCATCCAGGATGGAGACGAACACCTCAAGGCGACACTGCGAGCTGCGTGGATCCCGCATCTTTCAAAGGATTTCGACAGATTCACACAATTTGTCACGCAGAACGATTTGAAACGCCACATCAAGAGCTTGGTGGTGCATACAG